TACCCCATCCACCGTTTCCGCACGGGGGTCAGGCGGATTGGAAACGCCGGACCTCCGACACACGTGCACGGTCGGGGGTCCGGCGTTCCCAAACCACCCTACGCCCTCCACCCTTTCTGTACGGGGGGTCCGGCGGATTGGAAACGCCGGACCTCCGACACCCGTCCACGGTCGGGGGTCCGGCGTTCCCAAACCGCCCTACCCCGTCCACCCTTTCCGTTCGGGGGTCCGGCGGATTGGAAACGCCGGACCTCTCTACCCCCGTGCACGGTCGGGGTTCCGGCGTTCCCAAACCACCCTACCCCCTCCACGCTTTCCGTTCGGGGGTCCAGCGGATTGGAAACGCCGGACCTCCGGCACCCGTGCACGGTCGGGGGTCCGGCGTTCCCAAACCGCCCTACCCCTCCACCCTTTCGGCACGGGGGTCCGGCGGATTGGAAACGCCGGACCTCTCTACCCCATTGCACGGTCGGGGGTCCGGCGTTCCCAAACCGCCCTACCCCTCCACCCTTTATGCTTGGGGGTCCGGCGGATTGGAAACGCCGGACCTCCGACACCCGTGCACGGTCGGGGGTCCGGCATTCCCAAACCGCCCTACCCCATCCACCGTTTCTGCACGGGGGTCCGGCGGATTGGAAACGCCGGACCTCCGACACACCGCCCTACCCCATCCACCGTTTCCGCACGGGGGTCCGGCGGATTGGAAACGCCGGACCTCCGACACACGTGCACGGTCGGGGGTCCGGCGTTCCCAAACCGCCCTACCCCCTCCACCCTTTCTGTACGGGGGTCCGGCGTTTTGGAAACGCCGGACCTCTCTACCCCCCTGCACGGTCGGGGGTCCGGCGTTCCCAAACCGCCCTACCCCTCCACCCTTTCCGCACGGGGGTCTGGCGGATTGGAAACGCCGGACCTCCGACACCCGTGCACGGTTGGGGGTCCGGCGTTCCCAAATCGCCCTACCCACTCCACCCTTTCTGTACGGGGGTCCGGCGGATTGGAAACGCCGGACCTCTCTATCATGCATGGTTGTCTGGTATGCAGTGTTCCCGAAAAGATGGCGTGCGTATGGCGGGTCACGTGCCTTCTTGAATGTCTCGGACCACGTGCAAGTGTTTCTGTGTGGTGCTCATTGCTTTTCTCCTGCCCGTCTTTGTTTTGCATTTGCCACCGGCAGGTAAATCTGGTGCGCCGACCTCTGCTCAAAATAAATGGTACGGCAGGTCTAAGACTTACAACAACAAACCGTGGGCTCTTGACTGGGTAGGCGGTTTGCGTAAACTGGGGTGTGGGGCTGTTATCTTCTTGAGCGATGACAATGGCGCCACTTGGTACTGTTGTGGGGGTGTGAAGAAATCCGAGGCGGGCAGGAAGACCTACGAAGGGAGGACGTTTAGGACCTTCTTCCTCACGTCCGTCTTCGACAGCGCTGGGACGGACTGGGTCAAGGAAGACAAGAAGGTCTCCCTTGACCTGCGTCTCTTACAGGGATACGGCGTCAAGGCTTTCTCCATGAAAGCGTTTGACGTGCGTGGGGACGGAACTGAATTCCGGATGCTTTCTCCGGAAGAATTTCTCAGCAAAACAAATGTCAACCGCGTCACTGGCTGCCTTCCGGTTGTCGACAGTTCTTTCCGGATGAGCAAACCTTTGGTCCAATTCAACAGTCCGATGGACCTGCTGTCAGGTGTGGTTAAGCGGTACAGGGAAGACTTCTCGAAGCTGCCGCCTGATCAGCAAACGGACTGTGTTTTTTTGCCCTTCGAGGCGGGTTCCAAGAGCAGCCGACAAACGCCATCCGCGACGACAGGGAAGACAAAGCAGTTGCCGGGTGGGCCGTCGGGCGCGAATCTTCCCTCGCCCTCCGTGAGGGGAGGCCGTGATTTGGCTCAAGGTTCAAGCGAGGCAACGGAGTTTGATGACAGGCTTATGCACCAGCGCAATGTTGGCCGTGAGAATTCCCAGGGCAGTGCAATTGCCCTGGACGAGGACAACGACGAGGACGAGGAAGGAGGAAGTGCTGACCCGCATGACGACGGCGGTAATGAAGCAGATGTGGAAGTTGGGGATGACAACATGGAGGACCAGGGTGGGCTTACTGACGAGGACGCCGGCACGCCAATGCATGGCCATGACATCTCCCCCGCCGGCGCTGTGGGAGCCGCTATTGGTCAGCCCTCGACGTCCCGTGGAATTTCGCTATCGCAAAGCAGGAGTAAGGGTGGGCACGACTCACATGCAATGCAAGGACCGAAGGCGAGGAAAAGAACAAGGGAGACTTCTCCGTCTGCTTCTACTCACAAGAGGCAAGCCAGAACTGACGCTGTTAATGAGGCTCGTGGAGCTTTGACAGCGTTCCAAGAGGCGCGGCCTCCTCGGAAGAACAGTCAAGGGGGGCGATCTGGGGGTCAAGGCGGTGGCCGTGGGGGCGGTGGCCGTGGAGGGGCGCGGAAAGGCTTCCAGAGGGTGAGACCACAAGAGCTGTGGGACTCGGGGGATGAGGGCGAGGGAGTGGATCCTCGCATGCCCGAAGATGCTGATGAGCCGGTTCAGCGCGTCGCGCCCATCGACACTACGCGTTGTTTCTTCCTCGAATACGACGACCAAGGCTTTGCTACGCAAGACGTCCATGCTCTTCACGTGGACGTCATGAGAATCAAACGCATTCCCCGCGGAAGGATTCTTTTCAACCACCGCTCGTTGTCTGAAAACATTGTGCGAGGCATCGAGAATGTCATCGAAAGCTCCATCAGCACGGACCCGGGGGCGTGGGATAGGCCCGAGCTCGTGCTTGCGCCAGTTGACCGCAATGACACTGTCGGCGGCCAGGGAAGACGGATCACGCCGACCGAATTCTTGGAAAGGGATCCGACAGAGTTCGACTGGTAAGCTGTCTGTGGCCAGCATACAATTGAGGCCATGAAGAGATTGGTCAGAAAGGACTCCCCGACAGTTAAAGTTTATGGCCTCAACGGGTACTCTAAGGTGCGGGTCGTCTATTTCGGAGATGATCAAACACGAGGGTATTTCAATGTCTCCTGCTTCGACAACACACGCGAAAATCGCTCCATGATGTTGTCATTCGAGGATGCTGTCCGTGACATCAGGCAATGGTGGATAGACAACAATAGAATCGAGGCCCCGAAAGCCAAGGTCAGCGAGAAGGATGAGGTGGTCGTTGCACATCAGAAGACGTGGCAGAACTTCTTGAGGGCCTGCATGGGGAAGGCATGCGACAAGGCGTTTGTAAAGCAAGCTCTCGAGAATGAGTACAGTAAGGATTGGAGTAATAAACTTTGGGGCTACATGAACCTCGCCACATCCAGTGTCGCAGTGTGGGCGCTGGTCGAGAGGTTCTTCGAGATGTTCAACGAAGGAAAGTTGCCAGTTGGCGATGGCAAAATCCCGCTTGACATGCCCGGGAGAATGGAAGGCCGCCTGCCAGGCCCGTACACCGACGAGACCAAGGGACAAAGAACATTGTACCATTGCATATATGCAATAGATGGTCCCAAAGGCTCCACCGTGTCGTGGAAGGACCTTTGTCCTTCCTACTTCAAAAATTTTGGGGATTTGACATGTCGTGAGAGGGAAGTTGCGTTGCTCCTGCTC